TTTTTATTTTTATTTTTATTTTTGGAGACAAGGTCTCACTTTATCGCCCATGCTGGAGTGCAGTGGCGCTATCATAGTTTGTTGCAGCCTGGAACTCCTGGGCTCAAGCGATCCTCCCACCTCAGCCTCCTGAGTAGCTGGGACCAAAGGTTCACACCACTAATTTTTTTGGTTTTTGTTTTGTTTTGTGGAAATGGGGTCTCCCCATGTTGCCCAGGCTGGTCTCGAACTCCTGAAGCGCTCCACCTGCCCCCGCCTCCCAGAGCACTGGAATTACAGGCGTGAGCCACCCCGCGGGACTGCTGAGCTTTATTGGAAAGTGGCTAGTCCGAATTGAGATGTGATGTAAGTGTGAGAAACACACTAGATTTTGAAGACTGAGAATGAAAAAAAGAATGTAAAATATCTCATTAACTTTATATGAATCACATGTTAAACTGATAATATTTTGGATATATTTGGATAAATAAAATATTACTAGAACTTCATGTGTTGCTTCTACTTTCCTAATGTAGCTACGAGGAAATTTTAAATTGCAAATGTGAATTACCTTATTTTTGTTGAGCGCCAGTCTAGACCTGCCTTAAGCATCCATGCTTTTTGTCCAACACCTTGCTTGTTTAATGAACATTTGTTGGGCCAACTACTAACGCAGTGACAGTACAAAGATGAATCAGACCATCAGAGAACTCAGCCAGCTTAGCTGCTGTTTTACAAGGTGCTTGTGAGGATTAAATGCATTAATGTCGTGTGATGTAAAGAAGCTGGAGAGGAAGACAATAGGCCAGATACCAGAAGACCTTCGCTGCCATGCTGTGAAATACGGACTTATATCCCGAGAACTTTGGGAAGTCACTAAAGGATTTTCATCCGGGAAGTGTGGATGTCTCCTGAATGCCACTCAAGGTGTGTCACTCAGCTCTGAGCTTTAATGTCTTCTCTTCAGCAAAACCTTTCCTGACCTCTCAGATCAAAAGTAGCTCCCCAGTCTGCATGGAATTTACCACTGATATTTTTCTTGTTTATTGTTTTATATATTTGGCTATAGAATTCAGGCTCATGAAAGCAGGAACCTTGTTTTGTTCATTGCTGTATCCCTACCACCTGAAATAGTACCTGGCCATATTGTAGGATAGGTGTTTTAGAAAAAACCCTGGCAGAAATGAGAAGAATGGATTTCTAGAAAAGCAAGACAAGGTGGGGAATAACAGAAAATAAACAGGATTTGAGGGACTACAACCCCAATATTATTTATGTTGAGTTTGCAGTGGACAACCCAAGGTAAGATGCTCAACAGGCAGGTGTATTCGGTATACAGGTCTAGACCTTGAGGGACATGAGAAGGGAAGGGATGTGGATTTGTGTTACATCAGAGTGTTAGGTAACTGAGAGTTGATAAGATCACCTGGCAAAAATGGAGAGTGTGAAAAAGCAGAGGTGGGGGGAAAGAACCTTGGCAAATACCCACATTAAATAAGCAAGTGGGGGAAGAGAAGAATAGGCAGTAGCCTGCGTCCCCTTGGCACTCAGCATTTGTTCCTGAACTCGCTGCCTAAGCTTTTTCCAACAGAAGGAGCAAGCAGCCAGCAGGAAAGGCAGGCTACAATTACCAAGGAGCCAACATCTCCAGGAAGAGCCCTCATCCAGGGATGCTGGGGAATTGGTTTGACGATGCACTCTCAACCCCAAAGCTGGCATGAGGATTATTTTAAACTAAAGATATTTAAGATTCAAAAGAGGCAAAAAGAAGCCTTCTCGAAGCTTCCTTTATTTCAGTAAAAGCAGAAGCTTCTGGGAATGAGGCTGCCATTCATCCCCTCTCCAGGAGTTTATGAACATAAAATAGAAGACCATGTGCACCTGCGTAAACAAACATGATCACAAACTTCCTTATCTCCCTTCGTTCTTCCCACAGGAGTCTTTTTGCCCCCCCCCTTCTCCCCTATTAAGTTAGGTAAATAAATCATCATCACTTCTTTTGTGCACTGCCATATGCATATATATTTTTTCTCTTGTCAGTTAAATTTGCAGCCCCTCAGAACTGAACCTAAGAGGGTTCAGGAAAAGTTTTTCCTCCCCAGCAATGGATCAAACAGCCCAACTCAATTATTCTTCATGTGGAACCACTTGGAGGTGTACATTCCATGGTGTCCCAGTGTTTCCTCAGTGGAACTGAACCCGGGTTGCCCACAGCCACCCCTGCTCATTAGCACTCCCCTTACAGTCTTCCTTTCCCTGCCCCACCTCCCCATTCCCCTGCCAGTGCTTCTTAGGATCTCCTCCCAGGTAAACTGCGTGCATTCAATCCTTGTCTGATTGCTCCTGAGGGAACATAGCCTAATATATAAACTGATAAGGAGAGGTTAGAGAAAAATGAGAGTCATTCATGGACACGCAGAGGAGAGAGTTTCAAGGAGGAAGTGATCAGCATGGTGAGATACTACAGGGAGGAGCTTTCCGACAAGGGAAAGCTTGTAGGCAGTGATAACCTAGGCAAGTTTATTTCAGAGGAGTAACGAGAAGAGGTAGATTTCTGTAGGTTAAAAAAAGAAGAAAGGAAAAATTCGGGACTTTAGACTACTTCTAAAAGTAAGTAAGGTAATAATAAGAGGAAGAC